TTCCTTAAATTCAAGCCACAATAGTACCTCTGTCACCAAATCTAATTCTTCACATTCTATGTGTGAAGGAGGTGCTACAGGTTCTAGTAGTGACCTTGAATCTCTCACCCACCATGACTTGGAAGGGGCTGTGGGAGGCTACTACCCAGAACCCAATAAGCTTTGTCACGTGGATCATAGGAGTGATTCTGGTTTTCATGGGGATTTTGCATTTCAACACCTATTTCATAACCACACTTACCACTTACAGCCAAGTGGTTTAGAATCCACTTCTAATTCTTTTTCACGGTATGGGAAGTCACAGAAAATAAGGGGTAGATGCCTCAACGACACAGACAGAAACTTAAGCCGTGATGAGCGGCGTGCTAAGGCATTGCATATCCCTTTTTCTGTAGATGAAATTGTCCGTATGCCCGTTGAGTCTTTCAACAACATGCTCAGCAGGCACTATTTGACAGATTTACAAATGTCACTCATCCGTGATATTAGAAGAAGAGGGAAAAATAAAGTTGCTGCTCAGAACTGTCGTAAGCGCAAACTGGACATAATTCTGAATCTTGAAGATGACGTATGTAACTTGCAAGCAAAGAAGGAAATCCTTAAGAGAGAACGAGCCCAGTATAACAAAGCTATTAACATACTGAAACAGAAACTGCATAACCTGTATCGTGATATTTTTAGTAGGCTAAGAGATGATGAAGGTAGGCCAGTCAATCCGAACCAATACACTCTTCAGTGCAGCCAAGATGGAAGTGTTTTGATTGTACCCAAGGAACTGATGGCCCCGGGCCACAGAAAAGAAAACCAAAAGGGAAAAACAAAGTGAAGAAATTGAAGGCGGATCCATTAATATACCTTATGCACGAGGTATCAGAAACTGATACATGGTCACAAACCATTGAAACTGCTTCAAAGTTTGGCACAAGTGTTCTAAATATCTTAAGTACTGCTACTTGACAGGGCTACATTTTGAAGCTTTTATGGAGAAGTTTGGGAGAAGCCACAACTTTTTTCACGAAGTACTACTGCATTATATGCATGATTCTTAAAGTACTATTTATGAAGAACAGGGTGACATGAAAAACTGGATTAAGACAGTCCAGTCTTTGAGCTAACACTGGATGTGGATGTAATTAATTTTAAACGTATTTTGGTTTTTATAAAGGACTTGAAATGCAAAGTAGCCTTAATGTTTTTATTTAGGTAGCACTGACCTACAGTTCTACAAAAGCTATTTTAACTGGACTTTTATGAATGCAACCTATTGTGGAAATAAATCTTACAGTTGAATTTATAACTTTCCCCTTTTATACAGAAGTTCTAAGCAAATTATCCACATTTAGAAATACAGGTGACAGATCTAGTAAACGGAGCATTGTATTTTTAAAATTTGCACAAACTGATCAGAATCTAGCCAAACTCATTACGGGAAGTCACTCCTTCAACCTAACAGCCACAATCTCTAAACCAACATGCCAAGAACAAAAATAGAGCTTCAAAATATTAGAGTATGTTAGGGTTCAATGCCTAAGGACAAAGACCTTTATAGTTACAGAAGGGTTTATGCTTCCTTTAAGTAGAACATAAGTACCTGCATATAGGGTAAGAGAACTACCTGGGCAAGTTAGGCCAGCCCACAGAATAGGCTGCACATCTAGAATATGGATGTCCCCCTGCAAAAGGCTCACATAACATGAAAACGTTAAGTCACGCAAGGATACAAACCAATTGTAGAGGAAAGGGAAATATAGCAAAAGAACTGGAAATACTAAAATCACAAAACTTAAACCAAGCAGCCTACATGAAGTGCAGAGCCCAAGGGGCCATATAGCTCACAAACGGGGGGGGGGGGGGATCACAACCAGGACCTGAGCTGAAATCAATTTCAGGCACCCCGTCCTAGAAATTTAAGTGGCATTTGAGATGAAGCTCAATGAGCTTATTTCAGCAGTAAGATGGTAAAAAAAAAAAATGTTATCAGGAATTTCTGCCCTAGTTGTCTACCACAGAGTATCACAAGTCAGAACACTACTTTGGTTTGTAGAAATGCTTCCAGATATGGGTCAGTTTTGTACAGTAACTTAAATCTGTTTAGACTGGTTTTGCAAGGGAGCACACCTCCAATTGTAACTTGATCCTTGATTTTAGCAAGGCACATTCCCCCAGAAGTTACATCAAATCTTCAATTTGAGCTTCCGTATTACCAATTTACTTGTAGGTCTTCAAACTACAAGTACCATCATACACTGTATTAACAGACTAGGCATGGTCCTCTAATCCTTGAAAGCACAAGCACAATGACCAACTACACTCAAAGCATCAAATGCAGGTAAATAAGGCACCTAAAGGTAACATGGACTCAAGACAGTCACAGTAACTGTCTGGAAGGTATTTGGTCCATTGTGACCCGTAAAGTAAATCCATCAAGCTTCCTCCAAAGTTTTATCTAACCTTTTCACAAGTTTCCAATGGCCTCAAAGCACGTAAATGGGAGCTTACTTTCCCACAATATGCCAGTTTCAGCAATGGAAATCCCACACCAAAATTTCAGCCTAAACACTCTTGCAGATTGACCTGGATACCCAGATTGACTAAAATGTTCTTGCTAGCTAGGAAGTAGTCTTAAAATGGAGTTAGCCTGGAGTTCAGAGAATTGGTGAATGTTGGAGAAAAGGAGCAATCTAACCTAATTACTTTAAATATCAAAACCTAATTGAAACTATGTATTTTACTGGGTATAACTTGATTCAAGTTAAGTTATACCCAATTATCTGACCCATTTCCTGTTTATCACTCCAGTCAATCTGAACAAACCATGGCTCAGGAGACAGCACCTTTTTGGAGAGACTACATCAAAGTAAGATTTTAAGGGGAGAGTTACGTGAACTTCGTATCTAACGTGTTCCCAAGTATTTGGTACAGGGTTTACAAATGCAAACTGTAAGGGTGATCGATCACGAAGATCTACACAGTTGAGACGAGTAATTACCTACTCAAACATCTTGTAGTTTATATAGTTTACCTTTGGCTGCTATGAAATACACGTTTTGGTGAACACCTTTGTGCTTAAGGGCCAACTCCCATCCCAGTTTGAGTTGGACCCAACATGAAATTAGTCTTACCTTCTTCACCTATGGGGGAAAAAAACGTACTCCTGTAAGCCATTCCTTCAATTATAAAGTTTCAAGAAATCTTAACAGATTCTCATCTTTGTTTTCCAGATAAAGCCATCCCATTTCAAAAGTAGCCTCAATAGGCTGCAATGTTGAACAAAGTCTTAGAGAAGGTGAAATTAGATTCCCCACTGTACAATCTCCATGTAACATGTGGTAAACAAGAATGTCTGGATTAATTTGGGTCCCCCGTCAAGGCTGGTTCCAGTTCCAACAGCGACCAGTGGAACTCAGGACACAATTTGCACACACCCAAGCCCCAGAATGAAGAATGCAAGTGCTTTTATCCTTCTTGATCCGTCTTCCTCCTGAATTTGCCCCTTTCTTGGGTAGTCTACTACTCACCTCACTAATTTGACCAGTCACCAAAAGACCCGTTTCAGCTAACAAGTTATTGTTACAGTCAGTGGTATGGCATTGAAGCTGGATGGGGAGTATCAACCATCTAGGCATTCATTCCAAAGATGACACACATACATAAAATGTTGCCAAGAATGTGCATGTGCTTTTTGGTATACTGAGATTCATGTTTCCTACTTGGCAAGGAACCCATACTTGTGAGCTGGTTAACCGTCATTACTAAGGTACCAAGATTAAGATTCTTTTAACGTTTCCTTGAATTAACCCTGTACTCTTAGTACAAATAATTTCTAATGACTTTTAGGTCTTAGCTTGCCTTCATACACCAGACTAATGAAAACTTTAAACACAATAGGAAGACCAAGTTTCAAAAACTTTCAGTGAGTAACACTCTAGTGTGGGAGCCAGCCCTCAATTTGGCTCCCAATGATGCTAGCTTCTCAGTATTCTTGTAAAACCCTTCAATCTGTAGAATATGACCAATACACAAGGTAGCATCACTTCCAAACACTGATCCTATTTGGAGGCTTTGGGTTGCTCTTGGGATAGCTCACTACTGGGGAGGGAATGGCCAGCATCAACTTGCCAGTCCTGTCAGTATGCCCTAATCAAATTTTTCCTAACTGCAACCTTGAGCTTCCGCAGAGTCACAGCTGCAGTTTGCAGTTTAAGTTGTTGACCTGCAAAGTGATGAGTTCATTGTTGCTCTGAACTAAGTATTGAGGTTAAGGGTTAATTAATTAAAGCCGGTTTTAGAAATACTACACATGTATCAAAGGTTGTGATTTCCTTCTGGTAGAAAACTTACACAAAAACCACACTTATCTCAAGTTCTTAAACAGCTCAATATACAACATACACATGGGGAAAATGCCTGTGGAGTATTCAACATTACCTACTCAGTTGAAGTAAGCCAGTGAGCTTGATGTGCATTTTTCCCATTTGTGCAGGTTAAGGGTTAGGTACTTAACGTTGTGTTAGCATACCAACTTGATTTACCTTTCAAGTTCAACTTCTTGGTAGAGTTGGGCATTTCTAAAACCTTCAAAAAATTTACCTAACTTTGAAGCATTCTCACAAGTAGTTGATGGATGCAGCTACTGTTTGAAACAAAACAGTTCATCTTCTTTTGGCCATTAGTTTAACTTACCTGTGAGATACCTCATCAAAACCAAAACAACAAAAAGTTAAATCAACCTTCCTATGGATCTTTCATTCTTTCAGGTAAACATCCAAGGCACTGCTTATTAAAACTTTAACCCTTAAAAAAGACAACCACTGAAACTAAGTTTGAGATGCATATAAAGCTACTTGACATCTGAGAAACTGGTATGAGATGGTGTCTCAGTGCTTTGCCCTTAACTGGGACCACTCTAGTTGTTTAAAATATTTGCAAAAACGCCACCAGCAATGTTAAACATAACAAGGTAAAGCGAGAAAACTAGAGCAGTATTCAAACGCTGAATGTACAGTATAAAAAGAATGGCATTTTATTAGGGACAGCCAATAATGTCCACAATGCTTTTCTTGACTATCAATATTGAAATAAAAATGGCAATATGCATAGATTGGTGAAACTGCTTTAAAACTCTAGGGGATGGCAATCTTTTAGACAACTGTAAGTTGATAGAACAAGATTCACACATTTTATGTGTAAACATTACACCAAGTATTTGAATACAAAACTGTTTATTTTATAAACTTTATATTTAAAATAGAATTTTAATCTGTCTACTCACAAAACCTAATTTAAAACATGATACATTTCTCTCTCTAGCTTACTTGATGTTACTCTTTTACAAACAGTACTCAATTTGTAATGGTTTTATATTAAGAACCTGTACTAAATGATGTATTTTATCAGAAAACATTTCCCTTTAATCTTAAAGTGCTTTTTTTTTTAAATGAAGGCACCAACAAGAACTACTTTCAGATGGTACAGTATTTCTTATTTCTTGAAGACTCTGTGGTTGACCACTTCTTCATTAGTTACCTGCAGCAAGACACCTTCCTGCCAAAGGAAAAAAAAAGTATCTGAAGAAGTTTATCATGTTTGTCCAAAGAACCTAAATAACTTCAGTGGTGGTCTTAGGATCAAAGACGACTCACTGGTGCATACAGTAGAATAAGCCCTGATAATCACATTCCTGAAAAGGCAATAAAGCCAGGCAAATCAAACTGTTGACACTTAAAAATGAATTTCAGCAGCCAACCTACATCTCTCCTATAAGGTAGGGGATTGGAAAGAATTACCACAAACCTAAATATTTAGTACTTGATACATACAGGATTTATAATGTAGACACTTTATTCATAAATATAAACTATCATCTGAAAAGTTTCAACCATTTTACCCTACCTTCTCCTGAGCCTGACCCTGATAAGCATGTACAACTAGGAACAACCATATAACAGAAGAACAAAATTCTTTATTTTTAATAAAAACCACTAGTTCACTCAAAATGCTTGATCCAAGAAATGTGAATACACAAGGGTGTAATGATGGGTAATTTCATGATTTATTGAACTTGCAGCCTAACTTTTACCTACCATTTTACTACCAACACCACTGAAGGAACCAAGAAAAGCTTTATTAATGATCACTTGGCTTGCGCCTCAGCTGTTGAAATGAAGCACTTTACAGTCTTTGTGGCAGCAGAATATACTTGTCCATGGTTCATATCAATGCTAAATTCCAGCAGGGAAAAAAATGATATGTTAAGCACCTGAATCTTCATAGAGGGAGGAAGGGGTGGGAAAGAAGGGAAAAAAGGGGGGAAAAAAACAACCAAAATAATTTAAGTAAATGACAGATTGGAAAACAGGGTTTATAAGATTCTCTTGAGTTTATAAATTGTTAAACTCAAATTTATAGCTATGTTAAACTACATAAGAACCACTATACTGAAAGACCATTGAAGAGTAGTATTAGTTTATCTTTTGGGGAGGAAAATTAAGAAAGGAAAAGTAAATAAGATCTTACCTAAAGAAGTTTAACTGAAGCTTAGAACTATTTTGCTCTACACCCTCAGCTTTCGTTGTCATCCTTATAAACTACTGTAGTTAAAGCTTTGTAGAAACAGCACAGTTTTTTAAGACTGGCTGAACTTAGTAGCCGTCAAGAGTTCTCTTGTACTAGACCTGTATCCCTGAAGAGTACCTCGCTGGGGTTATTTCCTTTCCTTGCATTGAAGAAGCAGCATCTAAAAGATCTAAAAAGGTGTTTCTCTTTGCAGAGATATCCCTTAAGTTATCTAGATAATTTAATCCTGATGAATTGCAGACAACACACTTATATCTGACCAGCATTTATCTTACACAAATATAACAACAACTTTGCAAAGGACCTTAATTATACTACCCACTCCTTAACTTATTTAAAATAAAAAGTCTATAATTACACAATTTCCTTTAGAATTATTTTATTAAATCATAAATGTACAACAGCTTCTTAACTCTACACACGCACTTAAATTTTTTTAAAGGAAAAACGTTATGTCTTATTACACCATGATCCTGGCTAATAGCTTTTCAAAACTTTGAGAAAAATCTTAAAAAAGGTTTCACATGTCACCTGAAACTTACAAATTTAACATTATCAAAGAAGGAATGCTTCTACACTCTTACAAAGACCACTAGAAAGAAACAACAATTAAAAAGCTAAGAAACTGTCTCAAAGGCATTTTTTTTTTTTTACAATCCTTCCTCCACAGTAAGGTAATGTTATTAAATAATCCAATCCATTCACAAAATGGCTCTCTGCATCTGCTCTGGTGTCTTCTGCCATATCACTGCATATTTATGCATGACTGAGATAAGAGTTTCCTTAACATTGTTATTTCGATAACCTGAAGCTGTTCTGTTACCTCTGGGCTCTCATCCTCTCCTATTTATACAGTGAAGCCTGTTTCAACAGAAGTAAAGAGTAAAAAAAAAATAGGTTATGAAATTATCCATCTAACCAGATTTTAAGGAAAGATAACATGATCCTAAAAAGCTTTTACTCCTGGCAGCTAGATCTCCCAAGACAATAATAAGGTAAAACTCAAAAGCTACTTACCCATGGCAAATAGGAAGAAGCTCAATATCGGCTTCTCCCTCCATAACCCCCACTTCCTCCACTGCCTCCAGGACCATAGTTTCCTAGAATTGTTAAAAACAGCAAGAGAAAGCAAATTTACTCCCATTTTCTGCAATCAGCCTAATAGTATCTATAATCGATTTCTATTTTATAGATATACACTCTTTGAAACAAGCAGCTCATAACCTGTTACCTGCTTCTAGTCAACCTATTACTCGGGAAATGATTTATCCAGACTCACAAAAAGGTTAATTTGCCCTTTACAATTGAGAACATGATCTACCACAATCATTTGGAGTAAGATTAAAAAAAAAAAAAAAAAAAAAGGACAAAAAACCAGTTTGGCTCTACTGAAAACTTTAAGAGCTTATTAATACTGTGAAATAAAGGTTTGTGATTTAACTTTCAAAGAGAAACATAGAATTTAATATAGCTTGCAATGTGCTCAATTTTATTTGGCTTTTTAAAAAGTAACCAGCCAAAGAAAAAGAGCCCCACCTGAAGTGTCTAACCTACTTTTGTAAGTCCTAAATATTCTATACCACTGAATATCCAATCCCATCATTTTAGTTATCATAATGGAAATGTTACTCAAACTAGCAATTAAAGTATCTTAAGACTAATCCTTTAATCACACAAAATAATTTAAAGAACCTTATAAATTACCTCCACCATATGGTCCCCCCATGTTCCTGCTACCACCAAAGTTTCCACTCTTCATTGGACCATAGTTAGAAGGTTGCTGGTTATAATTTCCAAAATCATTGTAATTTCCACTTCCGTAATTTCCTGTGAAAAAATCGGAAGAATAGGTTTTGCATCATGACTTTCAAAATAACATATTCCAACATTCAACTAGCGACATATGCTAAATATTTAGGACAAAATCTCCCATAAAAACAATCAGAATAAATGCAAAACACCTATCTACAACTCTATAGTTTAAGGCAACTATTGACAACATTGAAATAAAAATCTCACTTGTTAAATCATTTTAATTCCAATCCAAATTCCCACATAAAGGTTGCAGGTGAAGTTATTACCTCCTCCATAGTTGTCATAACCACCTCCGTAGCCCCCACCCTGGTTGCCATATCCAGGTCCTCCACCACCATATCCTCCTCTTCCTCCTCCATAACCAGGGCTACCTCCAAAATTGCCACCTATTATAAAATAAGCCTTTAAGTAATTACTTAGTATTTTCAATACCATTTGAACTGTCTTATCACACCCATTTCCAACTTTCCAAAACACATTCTTATAAGCAAAATATTTGTTCTACAAAACCTCTTCCGTAACAGCCTCAAGGGCAGAATAGAGTACATATGCTTGATAAACATTTAGAGGCAGGGAACACCTCCTCACAACCAACGGGATAAAAACCTTTACATAGACCAATACTTGCAATGCCATAGCCATTCTCCCCTAACACTAAAGATTCGTACAGGTACTTTCAAAAGTTTGTATTTTGTGTAAGGATTGGGGGGTGGGGGCAGACGAGAAGCATAGGCAAGCGGGATAAAAAAGCCACACACCTCTGCTGGTCCAAAATATTAAATTCCAAACATGCTTCCTGATAAATAACCGTGTCTCAAATAATATACCCACGACACCCTTCTGAGTAGAAATGGGGGGAGGACCAGAAATTAGCAAACTTGCATCTAATTAAAAAACTTACAATGGTAGTCTCAAATTATTGAGGTGCAAGAACTCCTCTTTCTCTTAATACCAATTAATATCTGGACTTCAAAGCAGAATTGAAACAGTTGAGATGTTGGAGTAACTCAGTTACGCTTAAAGAGTGGCAAAACCAGCAATCGCGTCTACTACTAGCTCAGTTTATAATATCCCTTTCTTAATAGAATATTTGTCAGCAAATATTAACTTTCCTGTACTCCAACAGAACATATATCTAATACATTGATTACGTAACAGTAATTCACAACTTAGCTAAACCCAGGAACAATTTTGTGTGTTTTAGAAATTCTTTTGGTGACTTTTTTCAAGTTATCTTATGGACTTAACCTTGGTAAGAGACCAAAACAACACATATACTTCCTTTGACATGTTAACTATGATCACGTCTATTGGTTTGTAGTTTTTCAGGAAAACAGCACATGAAATACATATCTAATTATTTTGCTTGAGAAACAATGGGATATAGTATGACAGCATCTATAAATTCTAATTTAAAATCCACTGAAATAATTTGCAACCTGTAAACACCTACAAGCAAAAATATCCTTTCCATAAAAAATGCAAATTATGAAGGAATAGCCAAATAATTGAAACACTATCACCTAAGCCCTTTACAAAACATAAAATGCAAAACACTTAAAAATTTATGTACACACTTAACTGGACAAACACAAATAGGGTTTAAATCTTTAAGTCACAAAAACCGTATGTGAAAGAAACTGACCTCCAGGTCCTCCTCCATACCCATTATAGCCATCCCCAAATCCACGACCACTTCCATATCCATCTGTTAGAAACAGGAAAACGTTATTAAATCCTGTCCACCCTATTTAATTTCTCTTCCTGCTTTCCTCCACCCTCTTTATTAGTACCTCTCAATGAAAATTATCAAGAACCAACCTCCTTGTGCCAGAACACTGGTGTTTACTGGCTTATTCTTAAAACACAAATTGTGTAATTAGATCTCATGAGAATAACTGCCTAAACAAGAGGCTCAGACTTGGCAAGTCTCAATTTAAGAGATTGCATTTATCTATAAAGAATGAAGTTGGGTGAGAGAAACAACTGGTTTTCTGTTGGCACCTCATCACATTAGTAAGCCAAGCCAAACAAATCTGAAACCTAAAGCCAAAAACAACAACAAATACACAAAGCCTCCACAATATTTTCACTCCTGATTCAGGGGGTCCCTCATCTTTTAAAGTAACTGTAGTAGCACCTAATTTTTTTTAAAAAGTTGATTACCTTAAAAAGATCTCTGCAATGGATTGTTCTGGATTAGAATTTAGAAAATTATGCTTTTAGCTATAACCTCTTACCTGACCAATTCAGAATATCCCAGCGTAATACAACCTACTTAACCCTTCAAAAACACTGGATTTCCTGAATCTAATTAAAACTAAGTTTTTAAACAAGCATATTCACCTTTCTATTCACGCAGGTGAACTTACCAGATCCTCCTCTAAAGTTACTTCCCGGGCCTGGTCCAAAATTTCCACCACCACCACGAGAATCTCCAAAACCGAAGTTGCCTGCAATGAACAACCAGGTTAGTAACAGGCATTTTATTAAACAAATCTTAAAAAATAAAATAAAATACAGTAAAATAAACGAGTTAGACGTTACCGCCTCTTCCACTTCTAGAACTCTGGACTTCCTGCATTTCTTGTCTAGACAGAGCCTTTCTTACTTCTGCATTATGACCATTGATGGTATGATATTTCTGCACTGGAATGAAAAATTCGTACTCTATTACATCAATATTCTTTACCAACAGCTTGTACAATTTACCTTCTAACAAACAAACCCAAAAATTAATGAAAAGAGCCATACACCTAGAGCTTATAGACACTTACACACAATCTTATCCACGGGATCATGATCATCAAAGGTAACAAATCCAAAGCCTCTTTTCTTTCCAGACTGCCTATCAGTAATTATCTCAATGGTATCAATCTTTCCATACTCTTCGAAGTAATCTCTAAGATGATGTTCCTCAGTATCTTCTTTAATTCCACCAACAAACAGCTTCTTCACAGTTACGTGAGCCCCTGGCTTTCCAGATTCCTGAAAAAGGAAAAAAAGAAACTACCTTAACAAACCAAAACATGATTTAGAGCACAATATCTAGGTACCAAAAGTAGTTTCTATTCTATGATAAAATACCACCTAAAGCAATAGCTTATAACTAAAAAACTAGTTTCAGAAAAGTAGGCAAATCTAGGAAAATCAAGAGACACAAGACTGACAGAGCTTTAAAGTGGCAAGATTTAAGTTACGTATAAAACTTATTTTCATATTTACTGACAAAGTTCTATTTTGCTCACCTCTCTTGCAACAGCACGTTTTGGCTCAACCACTCTCCCATCAATTGAATGAGGTCTTGCAGCCATGGCAGCGTCAACCTCAGCCATGGACGAAAAAGTTACAAAACCAAATCCTCTTGATCTTTTGCTTGCAGGATCTCTCATGACCTTAAAACAACAACAACAACAACAACAAAGGGGAAACTTTAGCATTTCTTATTACTTGTGTTATGAAAAAGCAGTTTGAATGACGAGCATTTTTCATGAATCTGGCTTTAAAAATAACTTACTCAACACGTTAAACTTAGAGGAGTCCAAAAGTTGAAAGACTAGCATCTATAGACATTTTTACATTTAATAACGTACCACACAGTCTGTAAGTTTCCCCCATTGCTCGTAGTAGTTCCTCAAACTTTCTTCTGTGGTTTCAAAGCTCAAGCCACCAATAAAAAGTTTACGGAACTGTTCCTTTTCTCTCTGCAAAGGAAAACATCATTTCAATTTTTATTTACATTTCCTCTTTGTATGCAGGAAATTAAATTCTTAAATATGAGGTGACCTGCTGGCAGAGTACCTTTTTCCTCTCCAAAGGAACAGTTTCTAAAGTTTTCTGGGGGGGAAAAAAAAAACTTACATCAAATTTAAACCATATGTTAAACTGCATATTAGTTGCGTTACACCAACAAAAAAATTGCCTCAGCTGAACTACTACACAAGTTTCAAAGTCATTAATGCCTGATCCAAATTTACTTGACATTAAATTATTTTAACATGCCTTAATCTTAAAAAAAAATTTCTGTAGAGAGAGGAGCAAACCTAGTCCTTGGTCATTGAAAGTTTAAAGGATTGTTACTAACTTTAGATTCAATCCTATTGTCCACAACAATTAAAGTGCCTTTTAAATACTCATTGTAAACACTTTTTCTTTTAAAACATAAAGAACTGTTGGTTCTTATAACTCACAATTTACCATTTCAGGATTCAGTATCTAAAACTGACATTTACTTTCCCTTTACTGCTCCCTCTGGTGGTGATTCTTATGTATTTCAGTCCAAAAAAAAAAAACCCCCACACACACCACCAAACCTTGTAAAAATCATTCTTCCCCCATACACCAACTCTCCATGAGAAAAAAAAACCCTTAAACATTCAATGCATTTACCAAAACATCCCTATAAAATCTGCCTCTCTCTTCTGACCAAGGGAGAAATACCTTTTATGACTAACAGTGTTCAGAGCTTTAGAAGTTTTTAACATAACTGATTTTTTGTGGGCATGCTTGTATTTGGCATTTACAAAACACAAAAACATCTAGTATATTACTGAACCGTATATAAATGCAGTACAATGTTGCTGTAATCTCACTTTTCAAGAACGATAAAAGCTTAAATGACCACTGTTAACTTAGTTTTTGTATTACCACAATTTACACTTCATTGATGCAGTAAAAAAAACCCAAAACTCGAGTTATCGACCTTAACGGCCATCTGGCAGACTACAAAGCACAAGTGTCTCCAATTTTACATGGGGGGGGGGGGAGACCGGAAACCTGGGCAGAAAAAACGTTAACCCCTTTAAACCACCGAGCAAATATATGTTGCATTAACAGCCGGTATCTTCGGCTCTCAATTAAGATGGGTTGTTATGCTTCGTTTTCAGATAACTAGGATAAAAATTTAAAACAGGTATTCAGAAGCCAGAATAGGTCATAGTGCCCAGAAACATCTGCTGAGTCTATAATACAAATCAAAGGTCAAATAAAATTTTCCATACAACAAGAGACTTTATTACCAGCTAGTACTACATACAGCTCAGGCCCGTGGAGGTTACTACTTCTATGCACGAAAATTCCCCAACAGCTCAAAAAAATAGTGGTAAGTATACAATTAGAGATTTTTTCCCTCTGTTCTCAGAATTGTATTTTTAAAAGCTCAACAAATTCTCAAACTACCTCCTAAAGCCCTCAAAAGACCTGTTAAATGATTATCTGACACATTGATATTTAAATTAACCTAATTTTACTTAACTTAGTCTACTATAAATCAGTTTTTACAACCCAAATAAATTACGCAAATATAAAAGCACATTTACAACAACTTTTACACATCACTAACAAAAGGCAAAAACTCATTACTTACCTCAGTTTTTCCACTTACCCGATGTCCACTATCGATTACAAACAAAGTTATTTTATAAGCGTGCTTAAGAAAGAAAATACCCAACCAGGCCCCCTTCGTTGGAGACCTTTTGCTTATCAAGTAATGATCAACCATCATAGCAAACATAAATGAGAAAAGCAAATGACAAAGTTCAAATACATAGTGGCCAAGCCTGAAAACAAGTTTTGTACGTAGCCGTTAAAAGCAATGAAAGACTGAGCCACGTTTTAACTGAAGACCAAAAGTTTTTATTTTACTTCCCTCTTAATTTCTAGCTTATCACAAGACCCTCTAGTCTTACCCAGGAAAGATTACATTTCCCAGCAAAAATGTTATTTACCACGAATATCTTACAATTCAAGGAATCCTTACGGGATCGTGAAACCAACCCCCCCACCCCCGGGGCCACTGCCCCCCCCAATACGTACTAACTTAATGGCTCCCCTTTTTAGATCTAAAGTTTCCTGCAATTCAACTAGCTTTTAAGTCACCGCAGACTCCGATAAAACCGTTACCCAAAAAGCGAGGGCTGGAAAACAAAATGTTCTCTTTGTAATATGGCTTCCCTTAAAACTCGGCCCGACACCCTAGGTCGTTTTACCTCCTCTTACACCGGTGCGAACCAGCCCCGGGGAACCGACTCCCCCACCCGCCCGCTCTTCGGTGTGGCTTCTGAACGCAATGGCGCCATTTCATCGAGGGGAAAGCAAAGAGCCTCTAACGAGCTGCGCAGGACTTTAAAGATCCAAGCTCCCCCAAACCCTCGGAATCCACCCCGAAACGGCAGGAGAACAACCCGAAAACAAAGAAAAATAGTTAACCACTTCTCTTCTTCCGTAAAGGAACGAAACTAGCAGAATCCAAAGACTGAAAAGAAAAACGCTGCGAGGAAGGAAAGGAATGAAAATGGCGGCCGCCAAATCCGGTTCCCGGGAGGGGGGGAGGGGAAGCTCCGCAGCCTCGCTCCGGAGGATCCGAAGCCCGCCGAAAAGCTCAAACGCGGGGACGCCAGAGCCCCCAAATCAGCGTGCTTTGAAAAGGGAGTAAGAATTTCCGCCTCCGCACCCCACTTTTCGCCAAACCAGGACTGCGTCCGCCATGTGGAAGTTCCCCATCCCCCACCCCCAGCAAAGGGAAATGGCGCCGGCGGGCTGAGGGTGGGGAAGATACTGTTCACAACCCGGCCTCCGCTAACGACCTCTCCTCAAAAATATCCTGAGACGAGCCGCTTTTGAAGTGGCCCAATTTCACCGCCGCTCTCCCACGGAGGCGGATGGCCGACTTCCACCGAGGCGCCAACGGCCTCGCTATGCCCTTTGCAATAACTCATTGATTTCAAACCCGTTACCTCCATCGCGGACTCAGTCGCCTCAGCCCGATTTCCCGCAGCCGAGCGAGATGAGAGAGATCTCCGCGGACGAACACGAACCGGACTCGTCCTGGCGCTGTAGTGAGAGCTGCTGCTGCTCGAGAAACAACACCGCTAAGAGCACCTCCACACGGGAGCCGGCGCTGCTGCTACTGCCGCTAGAGCCGCTGCCGCCGCTTTTCTAGAACCTTCCCCCCGACCAACGCGTCTTCCCCTACGTCAGGCCGTTGCGTAAACGCCCTAACCGCCGCCAATGGCGGGAACGCTCTACGCCCTCCTTACGCCAGGTACGTACTCCTCCCCCCCCAGCAGCCAGTAGCAGTGCTTGACGTCACTTGCGTAAATGGGCTCAGTGAATTGCGGAAGGCTCGAGTCCTGCGTAGTTCTCTCTAATGGAATTGGGTCCAGCCCCCGCCTTAGCGCAGGGCAGGTGAGAAACGGTCGCGCAGTTTGAAATTAACGCTGTCGGGAGGAGCTTAACCCGCAGCCCTAAAGCCCAGCCCCCTCAAGCCGGGAGGTGGTCCCTGCAGCAAAACTTCTGTTAATTCGCTCCCCCGCCCTTCATCTCCCGCCAGAATAATCTGTAGCCTCCCCCTAGCGATTTCCCTCCCCCAATTTTCCCCTCCTGCTCTGAGGACTGGCTCGGCCCCTTCCGGAAACACCCGAAGCGACTTCTAGTCAACACGTTACACTTCACACGCCACCAACCCTGTCCAACGTCTTTGGGAGTCGACCCCTTGGGTTCAAGAGAGGTCTTTGGAGAGAGTGGTTTGAGAGGGGCACTCCTGCTTAGTTCCGATTCTCCCCGCCCAAGTTTTTCTTCACTCCCTCACCCCTAGCGTTTGGAGGCACCCACATCCAGGGGCGAGGAAGTGGGCGGAGCCCGGTTTTGGCGCCAGGCGCTGCAGCTGCGAAACAGAAACGCCTCCGTCTAGAAGCTCGGTCACTGTCCTCGCCCCTACTTCCCTCTCCCTCCCCTCCGGGGGCCACCAGGCGCCACGCCGCGAACGGTAAGTGCCCCGTCGCTGGCGCCCTCCACCTGCCCCGGGCACCGGCTCCCAGCGGGCGCGGCGCGCGGCCCCTCCCCTGCCGGGAGCGCGCACCCGGCCGCCCCGCCCCTCGCGGCCGCCCGGCGTGGGCGGTGCCATTTCCCCTACCCCCCCCCCCCCTCCCCAGCGGCTGCCCGGCGCGCAGCTCCCCAGCCCCCTCCCCCTCGGATGTGGCTGGAGCTTGAGGCGCGCAGGGCCGGAGACGCCGCAGACCCGGGACGCGGAGCAGCTCGGAGGCGGTGAAGTCGGTGTCTTTCTTTCTCTTTCTCTACGCGGTGGTGGTGCTTAAGATACCACCTGCGCCCCAGGGATTCTCGCCCCGCACCCCAGTTCCTTGCTTCCCGCCCTTCCCCGCCCGACCCCGAGTCAGGAGCTGGCGGGAAGCAGCGGAGAGTCGAGAGGAGACCCAGCGGCTGGCCTGGCGCTGGGCCGCTGCCTGGAGTTAGTTGTGGGGGAGGGGGAGAACGAGACAGACCTCGAGAGGGTAGAGAGCCGTGGCGACAGCCGCCTTATTTCTAGACAAAGCGCATTTCCTTTCCCCCTCCCCCACCCGCGATCAAGATGAGGGGCCCTCCTCCCCTTCGCGGCCTCGGTCGGCGACTTGGGCCTCCCGTGAGGGCGGTGCGTTCTCCCGCATCAGCACGGCTCGCTGTCCTGAGGCTGCGGCGGGCGTTCCGTTACGTGGCTGCCGCCGGGTGGGGACGAACGCGGGCCCAGTGGTGCAGTGCCCTTGAGCCCCCGGGCCGCGGCCTTTGTTTCTCCCCGCGGAGGCGCTGACCACGAGGCCCGCGCTCCCGGGTGGGGGGCGGGGGCCGGGTGTTTGGGCCTGGTTAAGCAGGGTGGGGCTTATGGGGGGCGGATAGACTGAAGAGGTGGTTTGTCTTAAAAGTGGCACGAAATGGGACTCACGCATCTCAGTATGTTTTTTTTCTGTCTTCAGCTTTTAAAACTAGTGATTAGAAAGGGGGGGGTTCTAAAGAGAAACCAAGTTGGGGTTATGTAGGTGCCTCTTTGGACTGTTACAAGGTCTAGTGGGAAAATTGAAGGTAGTTTAATAATTGTGATTGTTTGGGTTATCACATCGAATTTTGAAACAAGTTATTTGACTTTTTTAAAAATTCTGGATAGGATTGATAGCGGGATTTAGATTGGGGAAAAAATATTTGTCTATTTTTTCCTTTGTAAAACTGTCTCAGATACCAGGGTACCCAATAAGGATTTCTCAATCCACTTGGTTACAACACTGATGTACTCAGCAAGCATAGGTCACTAATAACTTAGGCAGGAGCTCAAATCTGCATCTCTGGATTTGAGTACAAATTTTAAATATACGATACATAAGTGGGGGTTGGAATCCAAACAAAACTTGTGTTTACCTACCTTTTTTGTGTCGTGCAAACTTCTTTTTAACTGTCATGCATTTTTCTAGTAATAGCTCTTCAAGTCTGCAATAAAAAATGGCCTCCAATAAAACTACATTGGTAAGTTAATGAAAACCTAAAATACGTAAGGATCTAACTCAAATTTTTTCCCCCCAAAATTATAACTTTGCATCTCTGTGGTTGAGATATTTACATCCACATGTATTTCCCAGTCCCCTCTCCCTGCAGTGTTGTTATGGGGAGAATTAGGGGCAAAAACGAAATCATTACATTAAGATACTTACAGGCTTGGCTTAATAGTGTCTTAATCCATTTAAAGAAACCTAATCTTGGGAGGATAGCAACATGAATTTTACAGAGTATTTTTATCTTGAAATAAAAATAAACTTTTGCGACATGGAAGAATATTGACAGGCAGTGCTGTAAAGCTCTTGCGTGTTGGCATAAGAGTCCCTAAATCTCCCTATATTGAATTCTAGAGAGAGCAGGTATTTTCAGTGTTGGTTAAAGAAGTTGTTCCTCATACACCTAGGTTGGGACAAAAGTCATTCAATCTTGGGAATTACTTTAGTCATACTGTCATATTTCAAGCTTAATTACTCTAAAATACATTAAGGCCTTAAAATCACATCATTGCCATGTGGTTTTTTAAATACAAAATGAACAAAACCATACATATGTCCTGGGAAGAGAGAAGACTAGATCTGCAGCAATTAAATTTGGAGCAATTAAATTTTTTCACTCTCTTAAATCCAAAGTTTGCATTCATTCCTATACTTCGTTAAAAGTTCTATGAATGTGTAAAGACATAGTAGGCTCAGCCATATTGTTACGGGTTTTTTAAAACATTGAAATATTCATATGCCAATCGCAAAATTCAACGTTATGATTCTCACAGTAATTCTAACACATTGCATTAATAGTTGCAATCATATTAAAGGTGAGTGCTAACACGTAAATAAGGTAAAACATTTGGTTTTGGTTTGTATATTCCTCTCTTGGGTTTCACACTAAAAAGGCAAGTTGCTGATTTTTAATTTTTACCATCATTAGGTTGCACGTTTAACTCAAATCCTGGCAAATGTTGAAATGTAAAGTATGGCACAAAAGATTCACATCAAAGCCCTCAGTGGAAAAAAGTGCAAAGCATCTTCCATGCCCCGTCAGGATTGAACTGCCCTTCAACTTCCATAACCAGTAAACCAAAGTGTATAGATAATTGAATTGGCTGTACGGTTGCCTGTGACCTTCAAGTATTGGAAGGAGAAGGAATTAGCTATCCCTGAGGCTTGGAGGATGAAAGCACACATAGATGCCTCTATTGCTCTGGCACAGTTTTGATAGTCTTCAATGTCCGTAACTTGATGATCCTGAAGCATTTTATCCTTTGTCAAGGGATCATAAATTGACAGTCTTGAAAGTTCTTTTCACTTCAAGAGATGAGGTGTGCTTTTAATTTATGTGGGAAAGTGGGCGAATTTTTTTTGAAAAGAAAAAAATGAACATTTGTAAGTAGCTTATGGGTGCCATAGAAGTAAATACTTCATTTTTTGTGCCAAGTTTTATTAGTGTTTATTCTTCTCACTCTTTGTGCTTATTTTTGCTTTCCTCTTTATTCTGTTAACCTCATCTTCATGAAGATGGCTATTTTATCATTTAGGATCACTGATAGACTTTTGTCTACACCAGTTCTTCATTTCTCTCACTACCATTCCTTGTACTGTACAGAAACAAAAAGCTATCTGACTGGTTGTGATACCCAGTATGTGAATTAATGAAAATTATAAGGCCTGACTTAGAGAAGGTATCCAACAAAATCAGGTGTTTGCTGGGTTATTGTAAATTCCAGAGGAGTTTTATTACTTCTATGTGTGTACATTTGTGAATAATTCCATAATTTTAATGTTTTTTTGCCATCTTGAAGTATTGCTGGTTAACTTTTTTGCCTGTATGCTGTATTAGGGGTGACTTCAGTGTTAGCAATTTAGGTTTTTTTTTTTAATAGCATCACTGAAATGAATTTAGAATTAACATTTGAGGTTTCCCTCCCTTAGTCTCTTCTAATTAACCATTTAAGTTTTTTGTTTTATCCCTTATCAATCCTCATAACATCTGACTTATTGGAAAATAGTGTGGGGTTTAGCATGGTCTTTTGGCTTCTCTCGTAGCATTATGTAAAGAAAAAAACTAACCTAAAAACTTCTCTACATGAATTTTGTTGGCTACCAGTTTGGACTCTTGAGAAACCAAGATTTTTTCACATTGGAGAATTAAAATGATCCAGCGTTTTGGCATCTTCGTGTGACAACATTATAGCTTTGTTCCACGTGATGTGTAATACTATCTACAGAAATTACGGAACAGTACTAGCGTCCTTTTTAGCCTCTTCATGGTCTCCTTAGTTGACTCTACAATTGATATCAGGATTCTGAACCATGTTTTCATTCCGCATTTACCTCTTTTCTGTATAATCAAGGCTTAACGTTGGTGTTTGCATTGATACAGGGGGTTTTAGTGTCTGGGGGCTATAGTTTAATGGGACTGTGGCTCAGTAAGACCTGTTACTAGTACTCTCTTCTTTGTGTCATCTTCTGGTACTTTTCCAGTTGTCTGTTGCTTTTTGCAGTTAAAATGAGTGCAAACTCTAGTAAACTTGGTCTTGTAGACTAGATGAGAGATTGGATTCGGAGAAGATAACAGTATTTTCCAGTGTTTTTGATTGTATTATTTCAGTGAAGGGGGGTGGGTG